AATGTAACATTGAATAATAATAATAATAATAATATATACAAATCCCCTTGTTTCCCCAATTAAAACTATGTAAAATATCTGGACAACTTGTAAAACCGCCCCAAAGAAAAATGCACTCCAAATAATATTTCAAAAATAAATATTTCTTTAAAATTAAGTGTATTACGAAAGTATTTAACAAAACATTGCCTTTTAATCCACGCCATGTGGTGAACAAAACATAATTTTGGGAATATAACATTTGTTTTGAAAATCAGTAGATACAAATTTAAGAATCCCGCATTATTTTCCCCGCCTTCCTATCAAAAAGTCATCGAGCGTATAGTCTCCATTGTTGCCAGATGTACGGGCTTCGTATACTGCGTAATACTTATACAAAGCTGTATATAATCTCGTTTGACTCGTGTGCCCCCTACCGCCAAAGCATTGGAACTAAGGGTGTATATTTTGATAGGTTTGAATGGCATTAGGAAGCCCACCACTTTTTCGCCATTGAAACAAGGGGGCATCACTTAACTCTAAAACAAATTTATACACGCTAATTTTAGGAAGCCCGATTTCGGCTTCGTAAAAACCGAGTGGGCTTCGTTTATACTGTAGAATGTAACGTTTCGGGCTTGGTAATGTAGGATTGCATATCTATATATATATATATATATATATATATATATATATATATATATATATATATATATATATATATTATTATAATGGCTTCTGGGACTTCTTAGGAAGTAAGTGTGGAACTAAAAGAGCACTTTTGTATATATATATATATATATATATATATATATATATATACATAACACGGAGCAGATGCCAAAATGTTAATAAGTGAGAAGAACAATTTTGTTTCAAAGTAGACTTCCTATTACATGCGGTGAAAATATGCTAAAAAAAATAAATAGACCTTGCGTTGGTCCCGCTGGAATAAGAATTTTTCTCTATGCGTAATATGTGTAATAAACATATATAGAGGAAAATTCTTATTATAGCATTTTGTTGAATGGAGTAAAAATATAGTTTAAAAAATAAAAAGAACTCATAGGGGCCACAAACAGTTTTCGGAACTATAAACTATTTCTTTTTAAATAAACCGTATTATTGTTTAATGACAGTTCAAAGAATTAAAAAGTAGGTATATAAAAAAATTCTTTCCTATTAAACAATTACGTTTATTTTTTTAAGCGCATAACAATTTCCATATTATAAAACTCATACGCCAATACTTTTTGTACCCAGTTTAAAAGTCAAAGAATTATACTACACCCCACTAAAACATGAAAAAACATTGAAATTACATAGAAAGCTTTCTAGCCTAGGCTAGTCCAATCTATTGCATTTAGCTCGAAATCAAAGTAGGTATATCTAATTACAGGTCACTAGAATAAATTCATGCAAATAATTTGTCAAACATCCACATTATCTACCTATGACAAAATTAATTATAAGCTTAAAAAAATTACTTATAAACAAAATATGTACTTTTATATCCTACCAATACAAACCAAAATTATACAGGGTGTAAAGAAAATGATGAATAGACCCTTCAGAACGTTTTAGGGGACACTTAGTAGAGTACGAAAAAAATAATATGGATTTCTATTTGGCGCGAAAAAATGTTAGGAGGCATTTAAAAAAACTAGATAAATTTATAAGTACCTATACAAAAATATTAATTTAAAAAATATTTTACTGGCTTCGTAAATTTAATAATAAGAAAATACTGTTTTTCTTTATCAAGATGCTGTAAAAAGCATTTGGCAACAACGGTTTTGGCACCTTAACTACTTACATTGTTACCATGTAACAAAATTTAATAACTAAATACAAACCTTCTTTTTCTTTGATGCAAAGTTTCTTTTAACTTAAAATACAAAGATGTTTTCAAATCTATTCGCAAATTGCTGACATGGCTTTTATTTTGGGCGAATGCCGCCAAAATGCTTCGCAAGCTGCAAAACTCTATGTTTTGCCTAAACTATTTATTAAGTCTCTATAGAGACTTAATAAATAGTTATATATATAAACACAAACCATATACACTTAAAAAGTACAACACCATAGGTATAGCAGCAGTTATCGTGTTAAACGTTGCTAAATTTACTGTTCAATATTTTGCTATATAGATTTTCAGCGAACACTATAGTATAAGCGATTTCGTAGCATTTAAACATGCATATTTTTGTACGTAAATTGCAACGCATTGTCAAACAATAATTTTCGATGTTTGAAGGAAATATTCGAGAAACATGGAAATTAATTACTATAGACTGTTAGTCCCGGTAATTGTAATGATAATTTTATTTTACATCACGGAATCGACAGCGGTTATTTATTTTGTTTGCGTAAAATTACTGAGAGAGAACATTTGCCACCGGCAAGTGTTGCGAATTTAAATTTCCCAGAGGAGGGACCTTGCGCTAAGGTTTCGGACAGATGAAAAGTGTTTAACAGTTTGCCCATGTGTTTTTTGTTTCTTGTTTTACGTTCGTTTCAGATGCATATGTTAGTAAATTTTCTGGAATAACAATCCATATAAATCATAAATTCATCGGGGATTATCTAATGTTTATATATCGTTTTTGCTTTATAATAGATGCAAGAAGTTACCCCTATTTGTCTTTTTCATATTTTCCTTTAAACATTTGAATTTTATTCAAAGGGTAATTTGAGTTATATATAACTTATACTTATTTACACTTAAAGTTTATATAATATTGTTCACCTGTAATGTTATAATGATTATTGAAATCAATGCAAGCAATGTCTGGTTATTAAATAAATAAAAGTAAACTATTTTAAAGGCCTCTTAAAACTTTAAATAATAAATTTAATTCGATAAAACAAAAAACTTTAAGATACATTTTATATAGCAATCAACTTTGTAATGTAACAAAGTGTCATTTTACCCATACGAAAACAATAACCCTACAAATTTTATTTGCGCTTATAAAGGAAATATATATATATCGTTTTTTATTACTGCGCCAAGGAATTTTAGCTTATAAATTTTACTTTGTATGTTATAATAAACATTTTTTAATAACGTTAAAATTTACAACACTAAATTAAAATCGGTAAAACAAAGTAGTTTCAAGTTTAATAACCTTCATTTTAAAACCAAGATTTATTACATGAAAGGATTGTTTTATTACTAGAGAATTTCACAAATTAGTTAAAATCCAAATTAATATTAACTTTAATCCATTAACTTTAACGCAATGCTTAGAATTCCTGAATTCAATTCAAACACGACGTTCTCTATAGAGAACGCCGTGATTCATAGAATAATTAAGATTGGGTTTTTATTTACATTACTTTATTTCATTGTTAAATATTTTTCTAATAAAACTGTAAATAGAAAAAAGCCAATTTTTATATCTGCAACCCTATAAAATGTCTTATGTATAATCGTAAAATTATAAAATTAATATCATAAAACATTGTGATGCATGAGTTGAGAAGTAAAAGTTTTCGGCAAAAGGAAGCGGTGTTTCTAAGTTTTCCACCGTTAGTTTGTGTTTCTTATCGAGCAAGTTTACATTTGGACTTACCACACAAGTATTTGTTTTGTTTGTGTGTGTCTTTCTATGTTTGTTCACCCAACAGTTGGTTGCTCCCTTGCTATTATTCCGTTTCTGTTTTGTGGGCCAGCGGTCGGGTTCTCAAATACGAACAACCAATATTTAGTTTACGTTTCCCAAAAGATAAACAACATTTTTGGTTTTCAATATTTTTCTTAATTCCACGTGTCATTCGTGAGTTTTTTTATGCTGAACTAAAAGTTTAACAAAGCAATGACATAAAACATTTTATCTTCAATTAATCTATAACATTTTATTGGCATTGTTCTTTTAAGTTTAATAATAATAATAATAATAATGATGAACGTAATCATACGTGTAAATTTTTGCTGCGATAAAAAGTATAATTAAAGTGCTTATAAGTGATTATTAAAACGTGAAATTGTGCTGTCAAATACCTGTGTGAGAAGAGATGAGGATTTGGATAATTTTGTATTAGAAAATACAGTAATAGTCGAGAAATTATATTATTTAAGTAATAAAACTAGTAAGTCTTGCAGTGAAAGAAAACTCACAAAAAACATACAAAAAACGTTAAAATTAATTTGATTAAATTAAATGGTCCAGCAATAAAAATTTCACACTGACTGGGATTGAACCGCGGTCGTCTGCTTGGGATGCAAAAAATCAAAATCAAAATCAAAATCAAAATCAAAATCAAAATCAAAATCAATATATTTCTAAATTAAAATAATTACAAGTCATAAAAAGGGTATATAATAAAAGGCCGCAATGTGGTGATGTGGTTGGCTGTAAAGAGGCGCGTGGAAGTGTGGTTCCAACTCTTGAGCCTCCCTGCGGTGAAGATGCGTGGTAAGGGTGGTAGCAGCGCAGTCTTCCGACGGTCTTTGTCCCTTGTATTAGCCCTTTTTATTAGCATGGAGCTTGTCTGGCCTTTTCTCGCAGAGCGAATGTGAGGCCAGCTTGATCCGGGTAGAAGATGATTTCGAGGGAAAAATAATTGAAAAAACCCTCTTAAAAAATTTGGAAAAATACATAAAAGATGGAAAAGAGTTAGGAAAAATACCTGCAGCACCCTGGTACTACGGTTGGATTTGAAGGGGATGTTAAAGTCTGGTTGGAGATGTCTCAAGGTCAAGAACCCTAAAGTCCTAAATCAACAGACATCTCCCACGTCGCGTATTGTTCTGAGGGTTAAGCTACCGCGGTGTCAGTGATGCACCGGGGGGTCGCGAAATATCGGCAATCTGCCATAGATCAGGCCATGTTTATAGCGCGCATTGTGGTGTTGTCTGAGCGTAGTTATATGGCGTGTTAACGGGTGTCGGTGTAGTTTCTTAGTGTAGAATTTATTTGCCTGATCCATGACATACTTGGGATGCGAGTGTTCTGCCGTTGAGCTATAGTACACATATTAAATTTCGTAATTACCTACTACAAAACTAATTGGCAATGTCTGTATCAAATGAAGATTTATATAAGTTAATAATAGAAGGAAACAACTCCTTAAAACAAGATTTCAAAGATCTAAAATCTGGAATTCACAAAGAAATTAACAATTTAAAGAGTAAAAACGAGGAATTAGAAAACGAAAATAGAAAACTAAAAAATAAATTACTAGAAGTTGAAAGACGGCAAAAAAAGTATAATATTATTGTATATGGATTGGATGGTAACGAGGAGGAAACTGAGAATAAAATAATTGATCTTTTCAATGAGACGCTACAAACTCAATGTAAAACAGCCGATTTTAGAGATATCTTTCGTATAGGGAAAGTTAATAAAGATATTCCTCGCTCTATAGTTGTAGAGACACAAAATTACAAATTAAAAAAAGAGATTTTAAAGAACGTCCATTTAAAATCCAAACTACTTAAAGAAAAAAAAATATTTATTACCCCAGAATACGCAACAGATGATTATCTAGATAGAAAATTGCTTGGAAGCTTTTTAAGAACTGCAAAAACCAACAAACCGGATGCCAAAATACGAAACAACAAATTAGTCATCGACGAAGAGGAATACACGCTAGAATATTTGAAAAGAAACCCCGACTTCTTAAAAGTGGATGAGGCTTGTGCTTCTTCTAAAAATCTGCAGTCTGTTGAAAAGGAAATTGGTCAATCACCATCAAAATACGAGAAAGAAATTCCTAAAAGGTCCACCCGTTTTGGAAAGAAATAGAAGCTTTTACTACATTAATTTAGTCATTATTTAAGTCTCTATTTAATTAAATATTTTATTTAATTTTTATCATTGTAGTTTAAAAATTCAAACTTGTATCCCATATAATTAGGTAAAGAGTACATTAATTAATGGTATTATTATGAAAAAATTATCTTTTGCTTTTTTAAATACTAGATCAATAACAAATAATTTTTCGTTTTTAAAAGAGTTTGTATTAAAGGAAAATTATGATTTTTTAGGTGTATCTGAAACTTGGCTTAATGATAATATATCCAATGATTCCATTAACATAGATGGGTACAAGTTTATAAGACAAGAGGTTCTAGAGGTGGAGGTGGAGGTGGAGGTGTGGGTATTTATCTAAGAGAAACTTATGTATATGAGATATTGGCTTCTGAAACAAATGCCTTTGTTGAACACATTTGGATAAAAATTAAGCATAAAAATGTTTCAATGGTTATAGGTTCATTGTATAGACCACCAAATACAAATTTTCCAAATTTCATGAGTGTGCTTGATGCTTTGATATCAGATTTTATTCCAACCTGTAATGACATCATATGTAGGGGAGATATTAACATAGATTTATTAAACTCTCAGTGTAAGCTTAATTCTACTTTTGCAAACAGCATTGATTCTCTAAATCTAAACCAAGTTATCAATAAACCAACTAGAATTACAAAAACAACGTCAACACTTATTGATGCAATTTTAATTCCCAATAATTATAAACTGTTTATTTCAGGGGCTAAGGAGGTACCTTTTGTGTCGGATCATTTACTTGTTTACTGTGAAGTTAATTTTAATGTTTCTAATACCACCCCTAAACAATTATTCCATAGAGACCTTGCAAGAATTGATAAAGATTTGTTATTTAATTTTCTTAATAATGCACCATTTTATGAATTAGTTGCTATAGATAACATAGACGACAAAGTAGATTTTTTTAACTTATTAATTTTAACAATATTTAATATTCTTGCTCCAATAAAATGTGTAACTATTAGAAAACTTAAGCCACCGCTTACTGACAATATTAGGCTTATGATGATAGGATAAAGCTTTAAATAAATTTAAAAAAACTGGAAATCCTGAAAAATGGAATTATTATAAACTATTAAAAAATCAAGTTACTTCTGCCATTAAAAATGAAAAGAAAGCATATTTAGAACACATTATAAATCTAAATTCTAGTAATAGTAAAGTTTTATGGAAAAAGTTTAATGAACTTAATATTTATAATAAAAATCAGAATCATTACCTGAAGCCTTAAATAAACCAGAAGAAATAAATAAATACTTTCTTTAGTTTTCCAAATTAACAAAACCAGATAAAGACCTTATTAGCTTTTATCAGAATAACACTAAATGTTCTTTTAATGATTTATTTGAGTTTTCTTTGACAAGTGAAGAAGAAATCTTTAAATTTATAAATCAAATACAATCCAAGTCAATTGGTTCTGATGAAATCAATATTGATATGCTTAAATTATGCTGTCCTTTTATTTTACCCTTTTTAACGCATATTCTAAATTCTTGTTTATTGCAATCCATATTTCCTAAAAAATGGAAGGAATCGAGAGTTGTACTATGCTCCACACTTCAAAGTCCCACCACGTGACCACGTACGGAACGCAGTCTTTTGAAAATTTGGCATTTAAGGCTTTTCAGGTTATGTATCTGTCAAAGTATAGTCAATGCAAGAAATAATATTTATACTGTTACCATTTATGTTTAAGCGTTAAAAGTTTATAAATCTTTATAGTATCACAGTAACAATGGTTGGTTTAATGAAATTCTAAAGTGTATAGTGCCAAATAAGTAACATTTTTGTGCAGTTTTAAGGTTAGAAAAATCTATTTTGATCAAAATAAATAAGTATTTTGGATTATTTGGAAGAGTGTGTTAATATGGTCATATAAATATAGATATACTAAATAATTGTTAAATATGGTTCAAATTAAATTAAAGCTCTTATACTCCTAACAAAACTTGTGCATACCTCTTGGGATCTCTACTTTAAGTTAGATTATAAGGAAACAAACAATTTTTAGAGATGCATGCAATGTAAAAATATTTAATACTCCCATAACATGTGATTTTTTAAATTTTTAAAAGTTATAATGATTTTTCGATGAAGATAAAATTCAGTTGAAGCTTTATACGTAATTGTATTGACAAAACTTTATGTAGGTATACTTTTAGCTGGATAAGAAAGACTACTACAAGTAAAAATATTAGATAGAGTATACTGTGGTTTTATTTAAATTTTAGAATTTATAAGGTTATTTATACCTAATGATTGTTTGATGTAGATAAAATTTTGTCGAAGCTTTTATACTGTACATTATGGGTATATTATCTGACAGTGTAAGGAACTATGTTATGGGAGTATTAAATATTTTTACATTGCATGTATCTCTAAAAATTGTTTATTTCCTTATAATCTAACTTAAAGTAGGGATCCCGAGAGGTATGCACAAGTTTTGTTGTTAGGAGTATAAAAGGTTTAATTTAATTTGAACCATATTCAACAATTATTTAGTATATCTATATTTATATGACCATATTAACACACTCTTCAAAATAATCCAAAATACTGATTTATTCTGATCAAAATAGATTTTTCTAACCTTAAAATTTTAAAATTAGATGATATTTTTTGTTATAATATATTAACCTACCTTTGATACAGATATTCTTATTCCATAATAGAGAAGCTAGATTTTTTTAATAAATGCCGTTTAGTTAAAACTATTTTATGGATAAAACCAGATATAATATATTAACATATTATGTAGACCAAATGCACAAAAATTTTACTTATTTGGCACTATACTCTTTGGAATTTCATTAAATGCAGTATTTATACTCCTAAACTTTTAAACCAACCATTGTTACTGTGATGCTATAAAGGTTTATAAACTTTTAACGCTTAAACATAAACGGTAACAGTATAAATATTATTTCTTTCATTGACTATACTTTGACAGATACATAACCTGAAAAACCTTAAATGACAAATTTTCAAAAGACTGCGTTCCGTACCTGGTCACGTGGTGGGACTTTGAAGTGTGGAGCATAGTACCTCTGCCTAAAAAAAGTAATATATCTGGTATGGATGAATTGCGTCCAATATCTATATTATCAGTGCTTTCAAAATTATTAGAAAAGGTTATGAATGGACAGATTAAACAGCACATCGAAAAATTTAATATTCTTCCAGAATTTCAATCCGGCTTTCGCCAGGGCTACAGTTGTACCACTGCTCTTCTTGATACTGTGGATGATATTCTGAGAGATGTCGACTCTGGTAAGACCGTGGCGCTGGTTTTACTAGATTATTCAAAGGCTTTCGACACAATTAGCCACGAAATATTGTACTCCATTCTGCATTTTGTAGGATTTTCCAACTTGTCAATAACCTTTTTAAAAAGTTATTTAACGAACAGAGTGCAGTTCGTTCAAACTAATAAGGGTAAATCTAAGACTGGCAACATAATGTGTGGTGTACCACAAGGGTCGATTTTGGGACCGCTTTTATTCTGCATCTACACTTGTTATATGACCAAATGCCTTAAATACTGCAAGCCTTATTTGTATGCTGACGATAGTCAAATAAAATACTCTTTTAATGCAGAAGAGGCCCAACAAGCTGTAGAGTGCATTAATAGTGATCTTAACTCTTTGGTGCAAATGTCTGGTAAACATCAACTAAGATTAAATCCTTTTAAGTCTTCAGTTTTGGTTTTTGGAAAATTTAATAAAGTATTAGAAAATGATATAAAAATAAAGGTGGAAAATGTGGTTTTGCCAACTTCTGATATGGCCAAGAGTTTGGGTGTGGTGATAGATACTGATCTAAGATTTGAAAAATATATTAACAGCTGTTTAAAAAAAGCATATTGCAATCTAAAACTCCTATACCCTCATCGTCATATATTATCACAAAAATTAAAACTTAATCTTACTGATACCCTGGTTCTTAGTCATTTTAACTATTGCGATATTCTTTACAGTCCATGTCTAAAAAAAACAATGATAAATAGAATACAGAGTGTGCAAAAATCTTGCCTGCGCTATGCTTTTGGCATCAGAAAATATGAACCAATATCTTACAAACTTTCCGAAAGTAAGTGGTTAAGCATGGCAAATAGACGTAAGCTACACTCCGCCGTTTTATTTCATAAAGTTATCTTACATAAAAAACCCTCTTACCTCCACCAAAAAATTAAGTACAGAACAGACGTTCATAATGTTAATTTAAGACATAAAGGTCTTATTTCACCCCCAACTCATAAAACAGAAATAGTTAAGAGATCTTTTACATACAACGGTTATCTGCTTTACAACTCTATTACCCCGTCAATTAAAAACCTTAAAATACCCCAGTTTAAAAAAGAAATGAAAAATTATTTGTTGACTTGTTATTAAACCTCCTTTTTAATGTTTGCTACAAGCTTGGTAATGCTATTGATTATAGTTTTTTTTTTTTTTGGTCTAAAATATAAATATCAGCTCTGCTGCTTTTTAGACCCTTTTGTTGTTAAAATGCATTTTTTTTTGTGTAAAACTATAAAATGTATATACATCCTAACAACAAATAAATCTATTATTATTATTATTATTATTATTAATAATCGTTTTTATTTAAGTAAAATATTACAATAATATAGTTATTAAATAAACTGCTCGTCATAAAAAACGACGCACCTAGTTTTTTGGAAAATATTTGAAAGCTCGTTATTGGAAAATTACTGAATCGATTTTGAAAATCTTTGAAAATTCTGAATAGCTGATTCTTTGACTTTTATGTCTAATTTTGGGAATATGATATTTTGCACATAGCATTATACTACAGGGTGTTAAACGAAGAGATGCATTTTTTTCGAAATTTCAAGTTATTCCCATTCATAGGGCAGTTGACTTTGATAGTCGTAATACCCCTCCCTGATATAAGTTGGGTAATCCCTCGGAACGTTTTCGAGATTTTGTGGA